GATTCAATTTGACCAGCGCTAACGGTGTCGACCTAAACAATCGTTTATCGGCCTATGAAGATCATATATCGTTTGAATGATAAATTATATCCGATATTCATACGCTCACGTATAAATATTGTTAAAGAAAGACTTAGACAACTTGTTTAGTAAATAGTTCCACATATTGAATTGCGATGTGCAAAATACTTCGTCAGAAAATATCACATACTTGGAAAAGTATCAAACGAATTTAGAAACCAATGCTAATGCACATTTGACCAATTTCAAAACTTTCCTAAACGATATTTTAACAATTGAGAGCACTGCAATATAATACGTAAGTGAATAATACGTCTCAATTCAAAATATATTTTCTAATAACGGTAAATAAACTTCGTTGTTAGCCTGAGGCTCTTGAAAAATCAACATCAATATTTTTTTTTTTAATAATAGTAAAGCAAACAGAGTATTTTTCCATATTATTCAGGTTTTTTATATTATATACATAATTGATCTACAAAAAAGTAAGGACATTTTGATGGTAATATTAAATATGACGTACCATTTATGTTATTTTCAATTATAAAAATTAATAACATTATGTAACAAAAAAAAAAAATTGAGCATCTAAATATTTTTGACTTAATTTTATTTGTTATTTGTCCTGTATACATTTTTATAATTTTCTGAGTTTATTGACATAAACTTAATAAAATATAATTTCGCATAAAATATAATTTACTTTTTATAGTTTTGAAAATTTAGTACCCATTTTTACTACTTTTCGATGATTCAACAGACATAATAATATTATTATCATCTTAATTGATAATTTTAAAGTAAATTTATAATATCATGATAACAAATTTTTATCGTTTCATTAATTACATTTTAGATTACTACTTTTGGGATATTTTGGTGATTTTTCATCAAAAATGGGTGTAATTTTATGTTTTAAAAACAATTTTTGACATCCAATATAAGTTGAACGTGAAACGGTACTGATCAGTGCCCTTTAACAACAGTAGGAGGTCTAATGTGTTATTTCGTGTTTATATCTATAAATTATAGTTTAGTTACAATCAATGAATTCTCTTATAAATTATACACTATAATTCCGGCCAATCATGTTGTACAAAAATAATTCAATGGCATAACAACGCCGAGAGTAATACCAAGAAAAAAATCCAGAGTTGTCACCTAAAATGTCTATTGTTGTGCAGCAAGTAAAGATTGATCTAATGACTGTAAAAAATAATCCTATCGTCATTTCAATCCAACGATTCTTCTTTGATATTATTCACTCAACTGGACTTTTAAAGGCTATTTAAAACTAATGGGATTTTATTTACGCATGAACTACAAAACGTACTGGACCACATACTCTTGTAACATATAGCTCAATAACTGTAAAACACAAGTATAAATTTCTTAGCGAGGCGTTACAGAAAAAAGTTCTACGCGTTTTTAAATGTTTACCTGACATCGTAAATTCGACAAATCCATTTTGGTGAGATAAATTTTTTGGGGTTCATCGTGAAAGTTTTGGTTTTAGAAGTTGCAATTCAATTTGTTTTTCTTTTGTTCAGTACAAATTATTTTCGTAGGGATTTTTTCCTCGAAAATACTAGAAACACTTGTTTTCTTATAAATTAAATTTATAAGATCTTCTGGTGTATAGTAATACATTTTGACCGCTGGTCAATAAATTTTGCACAATGGTCTAAATTCTTAGGAAAAAGTTCTTCTGTGATTAATTTTTCTTAACACTCTCGTCTAGCTGTTAATTCATCAACTTATGTGAGAAATGTATAAATGTAACGTGAATACAAATTATTCATCCAAATTTATTTATTTCAATTAAATTTCAACTACTGTAAAAATATAATGCTTTATTTTTTAAAAGTAACATATTTTCTATACTAAAAATATTTTGATTGTTTTTGATGGTTGTTTTTGTAATTTAATAAAGGTTAAAGATCAAAAGCGCGCTCTTCTTTTTACATTGTATATTAAATTTTAAAGTAATATTTGTTTTTGAATTCCGCATTCAATTTATTTATATTATTAAAGACATATTAAGGAATCTGTGTGATTCTTTATATTAATAAACTTAATTTAAAAGTTGATAGAATATTTTATGATATTAAAATTTTGTTATTAAGCACAAATTCTTTTTACAAATTAAAATTACATACAATCGATGATTTTTTAACAAAATATTAAATTTTATTTATCATAGAGAAATTCACTATTTCACTATAAAATAAACAACACAATAGTATTGTCACTGCAATCATAAAATACGCGTATATGTTCGTTAATTAAATAATTTTGCAATTTTAGAGCCATCATTATGATATACCAAAAGAAACGGTTCATTTGAAACTCAATTTTTGAAAGTTACAAACTTTAGATATTCACACAATCAAAGTACAAGTTAATATTGAATGGAAATATATATTTTAGTTATAAACTTTTAGAAAAGCTGCGGTTACTCTTATATCCTTCTACAAAATACTTCATTCTTGTTACACGTGGCTATTGAGAAATGTTCGCTTGCGAAACTGATTAAAGTACATTTAGTTCCCTCGCCATTACAATTGTCTAATTTTGGTCCAAAATTAAGTATTCAATCACAAGATTACAAACTGATCCTGGCGGAAATACAAATAAAACTATAAAAATTTGTCACGTTCCATTTTGTTGCTCTCCTAAGGTTTCTTGGACAAATGTTATTTTTGTTGATCATCGAAGCACTTTTTATTTCATTTCGTTAAACATTGTACAACATGTACTTGTTCTAATTTAAGGTTTATGTGTCGTGCTAGTTGTAATGAATTTTGTCTCGTTTGCAGTTTGTGGGAAACGCCTCTAGATAGTCAATACGTTATAATCGATGAATTTGTAGTATGACGTGTGTGTTTGGTATGTATAAGATATCGTACAAATCGCATTTTTATATTGGAGAGAAATTGAATTGAGATAGAGTATTTTTTTTATTTGATATAAAAAAAAATGTAATAATAATAAAATGTAGACTCTTATGATTAATGTTATCGTCGTAGAGCTGTTTTAAAAAAAACTAATACGCTTCGAATTACCGTCTGTATTATATTTAAATGGAACATACAATAACTTTACTCATAAATATAATTTTTCAACCGACTTGTTCTAGAAAATCTACATGGGTCAGGTAACCGCCGGAATAATTCAATTGCGCAGCATAATGTTTGGTCTGACAATTATTGTAGTTAAAGTATACATGAACCTTTACTAGATTTCATATTCATATAACTTAAAATTTTATCAAAGTATTCTGTAGTATCTTTACAGTACTTGGCGAATTTAATGCCACTTAATATTTCCTGCAATTTTTCACTATTATCTTTTTTACTCATTTTAGTTTAATGCAAAGCTAAAGAGGTATTGATTTTTGCATGATGCTTTTTGAAGTCTGTCCATAAAATTTTCAGCTCTCACTGGATTGATTTTAATGATTAATACGACAAAATAACTCAATTTAATCTAGTTGAACCTATTGTTATAGAAAATTTTTTTTTTTAATATAGGTCTAAATGGAATATACTAGAGTTAATGATATATATATATATACAGGGTGATTTTTTTATCATAACCCACTCAATTACTCGCAGAATAATAATAATTTAAACCTTTTTTTGTTTTATTATCTTTAGTTACACATTATTCTTGAATTTTTAACTATGTAATACTTTTTAAGTTCATCCCTTATGCCTTGGAGGGGGGTCAACTTTGTTTTTTTAAATGGTAACACATATTTTTAATTTAATAAAATGTTTGAGTTTTTAATTTAATAGTAAATGGCATTTGAATTTTTAATATAACTTTATTAGCTTATTAGATATAAACATTTAAAGTTTCAAAATTTTGAGTTAATATACATGTATAATACACATGGGATTGTAAATACAGGTAGCTAATTGGATTTTTATGACATTGCTGTCTCAGTCACGGATTGTTTATTATCAATTATGATTATCAATAGATATACTTTCTGTATTGTCAGTTAGTGTATTTATAAACTCATAACAATGTGCCTTACTACAATTGATAATAACAATGCTGTGTACCTGCTAATATCGATGTTATAAAAAACCAATTAGCTACCTATATTTGTAATCCCTTGTGTATTATACCTGTATATTAATTCAAAAATTTGAAACTTTAAATGATTATATCTAATAAACGAATTAAGTTATATTAAAAATTCAAATGCCATTTACTATTAAATTAAAAACTCAAACATTTTATTAAATTAAAAATATGTGTTACCATTTAAAAAAACAAAGTTGACCCCCTTCCAAGGCATAAGGGATGAACTTAAAAAGTATTACATAGTTAAAAATTCAAGAATAATGTATAACTAAAGATAATAAAAAAAAAAAATGTTTAAATTATTATTATTCTGCAAGTAATTGAGTGGGTTATGATAAAAAAATCATCCTGTATATTTGTGTGTGTGTGTATGTGTATTGTATATTTTTTGTAATAATCCAATGAAAAAACTAAGCACAGGTAGGGTCTGAAATAAACTATCCATGCTTGTAAATATTTTTTTTCAACTCAATTTTTTAAAATATTCCAGAATATCTGAGTTCTTTTTATCAATTTGAAGCTCTTGAAACATACTACAATATTAAAAAAAAAATTTAATATATTCAATTATTCATTAAAATTGATTCAGTGTGATTCGAAAATTTTTATGAACAGACATAAACAAAACACACACCATCACAAAACCAATACCTTCTCAGTTTCTTACATTGAAGCTAATACAAAATTGACACCTATATAAGTTATTAGAAATACTGCTAAAAAATAATTAAAAGATGATATTAAAAAAATATAATATATTTTTGATTTATTATATAAGTTGTAAAACACATTTTTTTTTTAATATTGTATTTATTTTGTGAGTAATTAAGTGGTTTTTTATAAATGGATCACGTTGTATATGACGGCGTAGTTTTGCGATAACATTTTGGTATACTATGTGGATGGTAATAAATACATCTTTTGATCATTGATGAACGAGACGATGAGTCGGATTACCTGGAAGAGTTTTTATACCCAGTTGAAATGGTTCATTTATAAAATTCTTTTTAAATAAGTATCTATCTACTGAATCTATGAAAATTAAAAGAATTAAACTTTTATTGGATAAATGAACATAAAATTTAACTAGACAGAGTATTAACTATCTTATTTTTTCTTATTTTGATGATCTCATATGATATTTTTAATAATATTTGTGGTTTACGTTCTAAAAAGATTACGTCATTAATAAAGCCAAGAAAATATTTTTTATTACCATGTTATTTTACTTCATGTAGGTATAATGAAAAAGCATACAGCTTTGAAATTTGAAATAGATAATATTGTTCATATCGAGATAATCCGTGTAAAATATAAAAATAATATTATTGACTTAAAAATTGCATTTGTGTTTTGTCGAGTTCAACTAGAATAATGTTCTACAAAATAATTTTATTTTTTTCGTCCATCTCTTTATCAGTCTATTTTATTTTTGCTGATGACTTTGATTATTGGTAAGTTTTATTTTATTAACTATTATTTTTATTTAAAACTATTTAACTAATATTCCCTCATAGAATTGCATAATTATTATAGGATTTTAGTACCATAAATAAGTAAAATGTTCTTAACACCACTATATTTTGATAGATATTATAAATTTTTGACTTTATATTAGTATACAACAAGCACTAAGTTCATGGAAAACAACTGTAGGAGACGATTATATAAAATATTTTGGTTACATTTACGGTGAAGTTTCTGAAAGAGATGTTAAGATAGTGAGAAATCAACATGTATCATATATAAATGTGTGTAGATCGTGGCATCATGGAGCTCCATTAATTGTAAATGAATTGGTTAGAATCTTTTTTATTAATTATTTGATTATTTTATATTATGTGAATTAATTATATTTTATGTGTCATAATATTTTTAAAGCTTACGTTTTTTTATATATATAACACTCTCATGTAAAAAAATGTACCTTGAATTTTTAGCTAAACGAGTATGCTCAAGCATGGGCTAATCATATAGCCATACATGAAGATTTTAAACATGGTCCTAATGGAAATGCATTTGGAGAGAATCTAGCAGCTGAATATAACTGTGATTTATATACTGCTGGATTTGAAGCAGCGCTTAGATACTACACAGAATTTGAAGAAACAGATGAGTTTTTTAATTTCCATGGAGAAGAATCAGACATGATGAAAGGTTAAGAAATAAATACTATATTTTAACAATTTCTCTCAAAAATTAATTATTATTATGTCAAGTTTTTATAAATAATATCGAGCAGATCTAATATTTCTAAGAAAGTCAATAATCAATATTTTGTTGTATTATTTATATCAATTTATGGTGAAAGCTTGATAAAATTTTAAACAAATATCCATAACACTTCCGAATAACCCACCTACCCTTTCATCTTAAATGAAACTGGTTTAGATACCTTCCCAAATATAAGCTCTCTTTTCAAGTTATTTCAAATAACAAGCTGTGTATCTATCAACAAATTTGCTTATTATAACTTATGTGTATAGATTTATAAATAATATTGTTAGATAAACGTCTGTTCAAACGCGNAACAAATATCCATAACACTTCCGAATAACCCACCTACCCTTTCATCTTAAATGAAACTGGTTTAGATACCTTCCCAAATATAAAAAATTTTTAACTGGAGTTCTGTTACTGGATAGCTCTCTTTTCAAGTTATTTCAAATAACAAGCTGTGTATCTAACAACAAATTTGCTTATTATAACTTATGTGTATAGATTTATAAATAATATTGTTAGATAAACGTCTGTTCAAACGCACTGTAGATGAATTTTATATTAATTTGGTAACACCGCTGTCGCTATCATTGCCTACACCGGATGCTAGAAGGGGAGACGGCCGTCTTGACCGTCTCTCAGCGTTACACACGGACATTACGTATTCGTAATTATAATTAGGTATAACACTGAGTTATTGTCGGCTCTTTTCTGTGTCCACGTTGTCACCGCCATCTTAGCGTTTTTTTGCTCTATGATCGAGTCATATAGCAATAAAAACGCTATATGACTCGATGGTGCTTTTGAGCACATGGTTGTTCTGTAAAAGTGACATATCACCCCTTGCGATTGCCGCACCCTTGAGCGTTCTTAGTACAATGCTCTTAGGATTATTTGCGTTTTGATGTACGTTACAGTATCATTCACAACATATAATGCACCTTGGTCAGCTAATCTCATTCGACTTAACACATTGATCGTTAAGTCGAGACTTACAACATCGTCGTAAGTCGATACAACTTAGCCGATAAGTTTTATGGTTGTTTAATCTTAAATTAAAAATTTATTTACATACTCTCCTTATTCTTTTTTCTCGACTTGGCCTGATTAAAGAAAAAAAATAACAAACGTTAAATAACGCGCGTAAGTATGTAACACCGGGCAAATATATATTAATAATAATAATAAAAAAACTATAAATACACAGTACGATTAATTTACCGTTGATCGCTAGATTACTTTTAAATAATTATTTTGAGAACTTTTTTTCGCTTATTAAGTAGTAGTAAATTCTTTAATATTGGAAAAATACTTTTTATGTTCATCCTTTGTTCTTTATTAGAGTACCAATGCAATTTTTGAAATTTCAACATATATATTTAACTAGTTCATATAATATAATATACCTGGGCAGAGAAATGTATAATGATAAAAATAACACTGCCCGCCATTCACCAGTCAACATTTAAATGTATTAATATTTTCAAAAATCTGAATTAAAAGTTATTTGAGCAGTTATTTTTCAATTGTATTCTTTTTTATTCAGTAAATTAGTAAAATAGATATGTTGTCATTTAAAAAATAAAGTTGATACACTTATAAAGGACTAAGATCATAATCTAAAAAATATTTAATCATTTATAAATCGATAAATAAATAATACTGGGCAAAATTTTTTTTTTTTGAACTATTATTTTAGAAGAAATTTAGTAGTCGACGATAAATCAATAACACCGTAAAAGGAGAATTAAATGGAAATGAAAATATGATTTTAACTGAGACTATAATAATTAAAAATATTAATTTTAGATTGGAAAATAAATGGTCATGCAACGACAATGATTTGGCACAACAACAAAGAAATTGGCGTTGGTGTTGCATTGGCAAATAAGATTAAATGGAGAGAAACAATGTTATAAGAACCCATGTTAATAATAACATCTGTATATTGGCCTATGCCATGTTTAATTGGAAAATACAAAGAAAATATTAAACCTAGAGATGAAGCACTTATGCGGATGAATACTAGCAATGATGCATATTTAAATAAATTATTATGAAGGGATTTGAAAATGTTTAAAAATATTAAGACCAACGTGGGAAGAGGTGTATATCAAGGGACCATGCTCTTTCCCTCGGTATTTAAATAATTACTTGTTTAGGTTATATTATTTTTTTTTTTATTAAAGGATGGTACAAATATTTTCCTAAAGATACTTTCCATTAAGAAAAAATTGAATGAATAATTTATTCATGTAATATTTATAATAAAAATTACTCAAATAAGAATAAAATCACGATTGTATCATTATGTTATTTTATTTTTTAAAAACAAAATAATTACCAATTTAAAACATGGATATTCATTTTAGTTGATAACAAATTAATGGATATATTATTATAATTACTTAAATATTTGCAATAGTAATTGATTAATTAATGTTAAGTGGACTATAAACCATGTAATTATTTAATAATAGTATCCTTCAGAGCTCTCGTAAAAATATTAATTTTAAAATATTCAATTTAAGTATTACACAAATCTTCAGATTCATAAAATTTATTACGTTCAATTGTATTAAAATCTAGTGATGGGCACTACCGAGTGAATACTACCGAACTATTAGGTATTCTAAAACTATCAATTCATCCAGTTATTTTTAAAAACTATCGACAGAAACGAATGTTTTTAAATAACATTTAGTTATCTAACGACATAGAACTACCGACTGTCTAACTGTTATCATAAATGTATGATTAGTAATTATTCGGCATATTATGCTACCGAATATAAATGATCTGTTATATATTACAAATTATAAATTATACAGAGTGATTCTTTTATTTAATGTACTGCAAAGTTGTTTGTTTTTTGAAGAGTTCTTACTGTTATCCACATAGCGTACAACAAAAAACTCTAACGATAAGGAAAATATTATTTAGGCAAGTAAAAACTTGCTACGGTTTTTTCTTCAAATTCTTAATAATAAAGTATAGTAGATACAACAAAAAATTATCTAATGAAGACAAGAAGTTTCGCTTTTAACAAATGGGTGGTTTATGATATTTAAACAGGTATAATTTATAATTTATTATTGATAGTTGATTTTTTAAGATTAATACCAACTATTATTTGATGACAATAATTTGTTCATAAAAATGTACAAATTAAAATTTGATTTATTTTTATAAATCATTGTAAATATCAAGTTTATTGTGTGAAAAAAATCTAAGGGTAGATTTAAGGAGTCAAATTCGAAAGTTAAATGGGAACATATATTTTTTTTATTATTAAATGAAGAAAGGTCTAAATAAAATGTCGACTGGTCTATAACCAGTTTTGTATTATTACTTTTTGAGTTTTTGTAGTTTTTAATTGTACACGAGAGGGTTGTGCAACGTTAAAGAATTCTTCCTGTGCGTCATAGTAAAAATAGAGCTCCGCTAAAACTACCCAACTCCTCTTATTTTATAAATCTTTGAATAATGATATTTCAAAATGTTGTATTAGGTATCTGAGATATTTTAGTCATTTTTCTGTAGTGTACGGATGGAAATCTACTGCACTTCCCCATTCCTAGTAATGCCTGTACACCTTAAGATACTCTGGTTTATACAACACCCGAAAGGGGAAGGAACAAAAAATAAATAAAAGGAGGAGGTTAACAATTCGGTTGTATGTTTTATGGCTGTTGCCTCAGAACTCCGTCATTTATAAACTGTTTTGAAAAATTATCTTTTTTTTTTGAAAGAATATGCTTTCATGTTGGTCCCATAGACATTTCATAAAATTCGGGTTAATAGTTTGTTTTTAAATCGAAATAACTGGAAAAATGTGTCATCCAAGTAAACGAAATTACGCATTTTGCTTTCTTGTGACTGTTCTGTGGTGTTTACGGTTTCTAGAGTAGACCCAAATGAACTACTTACCTATCGTCTTCATCGTTAATTTATAACTTAATAATTAAAAAAAAAAATTACTGAAAATAATAAAATAAATCAGATTGTAATAAGTATAAAATCATTTTAATAGGCTATTAATATGCGATTTATTTTTGGAGTTTGTGCCAGACAAGGTTAACAAACGTGTAGCATAATGGACGACAAGACAGCAGACGTGTGGTGTTGAACAGTACGGTCTGTAGCGACTGGCATATACGTGTTGGCGGGAGGGGAACGTGCTCTAGTTACCGACCCGAACGCGGACAGACGTCGTTAATGACTGTCCCCAATATCTAGAATTTTCGATATTATTTATAAATCGCTAAGCCGTGTGCTATTCAGCGTCGTGCGTCGCCTGTCTTGTTATCGATAGTTAACTTAAATGTTGTTCGTAATATACTCGACACTATCATAACGTGAGATAACAGTAGGCTACACTTTTTGTGTGCACAATAATGGTCTTTTATCTAAGATAATCAACGTTTCTATTTATGTATTATTTTGATATTCTTAGAATAAAATGATTCATTCCAACCAACAAAAGTTAAATAAATAACTTGGAGAAATATTGAACAAACGCATATTATTTTTTAATCACATTACATTACACACGTTCCTTTATTTACTCTCATACTAATAACTAAACACAATGTGTCAACCCTAGTCTTAAATGTAAAAATCCATATTAACGTTGTATATAATGTCAAAATTATTTGTATACTATTCATTTGTAATAATTTATTTATTTTACGCTTACTTATTAGTAAACAATAACATTGTAACAATGGGACAATGATATTTGTTTCGTACAATCTTGCCTTCACAAACACCTTGTTGTTTGATGAAAATACCCGCGTTTTCATCAATTCAGTTATTTAAATCACTTAAAACTTTATATGTTTTTATTGAAATAAAATATAAATCTCAAAAGTGTTGGCATTGACTGTTTTAACAAGATACAGATTTTTGGAATAAAAGATAAGATTGTTGGAAATCTTATCGTAACAATATACGAAGTAAGTGAAATTACATTGGCCAAATTATTATCATTGATAATCTTACTAAAAGAACGATTAAATATAGATTCAAGTATAAATTTTCAAACTTTATGTGTTACTGGGTTATTTAAAATAAAAACTACATTAAAAATATTATTAATTTAATATAGCTTTAATCTTAAATAATATTAGCTACAAGTGATCAATTTTTGTTTTATATTACTAGTTAGTTCGTACCTAATACATAGAGGTATTGCAAATTATTTATGGGTCAGCAGTGCCGTTCTGTTACTTAAAAGAGTTATATAAACCTAATGAGATTCTCAATGTATAAATAAACACTTCAACTGAGTATTCGTCGTGGGTCGATATCGCAGCTCCATTGTATTATTATAGTTTCTTACCGGTTGACTTTATAACTTATCTCAACAAAGCGTAGTTTTTATTCTTTTTAATTATATCTTCTTGTTTTTATTCTTCTGAACCCTCAAATACCATTCCCCGATAGAACCCCTTACATATAAAATGACCAATTATCGTACAAATCTGGTAATTAAAAAATTATGTAAATAAACTAGATATTTCAAATTATAAAATATCTATTTCATTACTGTATTGAATTAAGCAGAAGTTAGATTAAGTTTGTGCAATAAAAGAATCATTGTTGGTTATTGAGAGTTGGATTTATCGAAAAAATGGTAGCATTTAAATTTTTTATTTTTTCATTCGCATTGATGTTTTGTAAGTCAAACTATTTTCCAAAATCCTAACGGATATGAGTGGAATTTATTAAAGATATATTTTTTTATATTTATAGTCGATTCTGAACAAAATGTACTGTATAATATTGTATTCGAAGATTCAAAGTTGTTCTGTTTTTGAATTATAATCAAATTTTATTAATATCAAAGGTCGGTCTATAGTTATAATTGTTGATACAGTTAAACGTATCAAACTCCAAATGATGAAATGTTTCTTGACAGGTGTTGAAGTAATTTATGCCAGTCTTTAAGGATTCCTGAATTTAATATAAAAGATTCAGAATATAAACCTTATATTTTAAATATAATACATGAATATATTTTGATATACTTATTATTTGAAAAAATATTTTATTTATTCTTCTTCGTGAAATCTAGCTGCGAGTGTTTTTATGTAAAACAGTATTTTTAGTAAACTTTTACTAAGTATTATCTTAAGAATAGAAGTTATGGGTATCCGTTTGGTTTAATGAAATTTATTGTTTATATACATATATATTTTGTATTAAATTACAGCTTTAATAAAAACAGAACTATTTAGACTTATTCTGATTTTTGTCACTTCAATTTATTTTTATATTAAAAACAAAACGGCATGACTTGAATTGATTTCACTCTGGTTTGCCGTTCATTTCGAAAATAAGAAAAAAATTTAATAAAAAAAAATTATACAGCACTCAGGTATATCTCGCCATTGTAGTTTTAATGACAATATTAGGATACAAATCATGTTCTAGAACAAAATAACCACATACATTCAGTTATTCTGGTTAAAATCTAAATTTCACTACATAACGTGTTTTGTTTAAGTTTGGCTGTATTATGATGTTAAGTTTTTATAAATATCTTAATAAGTTATAAATGACTAATGTCTACTGGTGTAGGACTAAACAAAAACATTCACGTGCTGGTTTGATGTGCTTAGAATAAAAAAAAAAAGAGCGCTACGAACGCAATTCTTTACAATTTTTTTCTTTCATACCTATTTGGAATACTAAAATTTTGTTGTTCAAACGGATGAAACAAAAATCTGGTTCAATAACAGTACTAAAAAATACATACACACATATGTACTGAAAGAAGGTTTCGTGTTTGTGTACATAATTAAATTTCAAAAGCGGTTTTATATTATTTTTTTTTACGTTAAGTTGTAAATACTTATTATGCTTAGCAGATATAAAACTCAGCTGTACATTGACGTGTTCGTGTCCTTAATTGCATTTGCATTGTAATCAAAAACTATTTTTAAGTACCCGTAAAAAATTTATTCGTTTTGTATAAAATAGCCAACTTGATTATTTTAATATTAAAAAAATAAACGTGGTATAGCATTTTTGCACGCTACTTGAATACTTGCCAAAAACGTCGTTTTGTAAAGAAATTACTCATGTCTATAATTTATAGTTATTAATTTCATTAAAAAAAATCCGTTTTCATCAATGGTTTTTTATCATTTAAATCGACCGATACCCAAACTTTATTAATAAAAATAAAACGGATTCATGTTAAACAGCGCAAACCTCCCACGATAATGTTATATTTATTTCAAACTATTATAATCTATATAGGTTTCAGCTTCAGCGATTGCATTTATTCAGCACAGATACAACAA